GCTCCATTTTTGCCAGCCACCAGCCTTGGCAATAAGGCCATCAGGTAGGTGGCTTTAGTTTCACTTTGCTGAGGAATCTACAACTCAGCATGGTTCTGACACAAATTAAGGTGGGGTGAGGGATTGGATAATCTGAAGACAGAGCTCTTCCCTCATGTCCAGGTGCCCTTCAGTTATCCACACACAACATCTCCCTTAAACTGGTTCCTGAGCCTTGAATTTCAGTCAAGGTGTGTTAGCAGGCAAGTTGAGATTGACCAAGCCTGGTGAGGTGAAGGCAGTAACTCAGGTGCCTATGGCATGTTACGTTATTCTTTCTTTAGTCCCCTTCATAAAAGAGCTGAGATACCATCTACCTTGCAGGGTTACATGAAGTAATGTGGGTAGAGCGCTTGGTAGATGGTCACTAAATAACTATGATGATTATGGCTAAGAGTTGTTTTTGAAGGAAACTTGTTGGTGGAATTATTTCAGTCTCTTCATAGGGATTCTTGTTTGCTTGCTGACAAAAGGAACTATATACAACAATGAACAGTCTTAAAATACTCATTTTAGTAGATGCCAAATATATATATACCCTAGGACCAAATAAGGCATCCTTGACAAAACAAGTTATTTTTAATGCAGAAGAATTTCAAGAAAAATAACTTAGTCCCTCTTCTAAAGATGAGCTTACAGCAATAGTTTCCACATTAATTAATCAACTATTAAGTTAAAAAAAAAGACTTTATTTATTTGACAGAGAGAGACACAGCTAGAGAGGGAACATAAGCAGGGGGAGTGGGAGAGGAAGAAGCAGGCTTCTTGCTGAGCAGGGAGCCCAACACAGGGCTCAATCCTGGAACCCTAGGATCGTGACCTGAGCTGAAGGCAGCCACTTAATGACTGAGCCATCCAGATACCCCTAAACTATTAAGTTTTTAAGTGGGACAGTAATCTGAAGATTTTAGGTGAATTCACTTCACTGGCGTTTGGAGCTATAGTCAACTTCAAGATTAAACTCGCTGCCATTTGGCCTGGTGCAGATGAAATTTGTTGTGCCTGTATGAAAAGTGAACATTTTGTATAATTATACACACTTGTCATTATAGTATCCACCCTCTGGATTCTTTCTTATGGAAAGGTTTTCTTTTTGTTTTATCCTCAAAAAACCTGTGAGGTTTTAAACCAATGTGACTAATAGCATAGATTGTCAGCTGGGCGTCTCCTTCTGTAGCTCATTGCTTTCTAGATGGGACTACATAAAATAATTGTATTTTGCACATTATCTGCTCCTTATTTAAGATCTGAGGAGGAGTTGTCCAAAAGAAAAGTGAAGGACCTTTAAAGATGGACAATGCAGGCAGGCTCTTCTCTCACAATCGTGTTTGTTGGCTAGCCCAATAGGATTTTGTATTACAGTTAAAAGTGTTTCTGAACTGTTTTTTACTTTCTCATCACTGTATTCATATGGCTTCTGTTTCTTGAGAGAAACCCAATTTTTGTCCTTTTAACAGAAACAGAATTAACCTAATTGCACAGTCGTTTTCAACCATACAAAAGCCGGCATTAAAAATGAGCCAGTGGGAATAATTATAAAAGAGGTAAATGATCTGATATATAGTTCTTGTGCTTGAGGGATTTAATTTGACGTTAACAGAAAAAGGATTTTTCTGAAAAAAAAAAACCAAAAAAAAACCAAAAAAAAATCTTATCATTTAATCCACAATGTATTTAGCTACAGACATTCTACTAATATAGATAGATTCATTTAATGTTTTTTCTGATTCATGTGGTGCTTAACAAAGGGGTTACTTTAGCTCTTGCATCTCAATTCATTGTTTTATGATTCTTTAATCTTAATTCTCATTGACTAGTGAGATAAAATAATTATAGTAAGAGATTTTAGTATGTGCATATGAAAATTGGGCATCTCCAGTAGTTAAAAAAATAAATAAGGACATACAGGAATTGAACAATGTAACAAGTTAACTTTGTGCGTGTGTGCGCATACACCCAAGTGTGCATATACACTCTTGAATACAGGAGAAAGACCGTACTTCCTTTGAATAGAGAAGAAACACTTTATTCCCCATATGTTCATGGAACATTTAAAATAGTTGATTCCATATTTTACCACAAAGAAAATTTGACATGTCTTTGTATTGTTTTACTTTTTGCAGTAATCATATATTACTTTCATATGCAAACAGCAAAATAAATAAAAAATTTGAAAATGTGTTTGCTCTATTTCTGATGTCTAGAGTAGTGTTTGAAACATATTAGGGACTTAAAAGATGTTGGCTACATAAATGAACCAGTGGATTTTAACATTTGTTGAGTACCTACTATGTGCCAGGCAGAGAACAGCAGGTAGTGCCCTCCAGCTGTGTGGTTTAAAGCCATTTGAGTTAAATGGAGTTTGTTATGTCACAGATCAAACCATGTGCACTCACACATAAGTAACAGACAACAAGTCTGCAGTCATTCCTTTAGCCCATGACCCAGTTATACTTGGTCTTCTGGTGAATTGATTTATTTAATATTTTTTATATATAGGTATACATTTCCCACACTTCATATGATAAAGAGTGGGGGAGGAGTGATAAGGACATATGGAGTAGGGAAAGCTTTCTGACATTGAACATACTGATTGCACTAGGTAAATCTGACATTCCTTTTCAGCTTTACCAGGAAAAATTCTGCTATCCCTAAGCACACAGGCTCTTTGGTTTGTTTACTTACCATTTTTTTTTAAAAGATTTTATTTATTTATTTGAGAGAGAGAGAGGTCACAGGTAGGCAGAGAGGCAGGCAGAGAGAGAGGGGGAAGCAGGCTCCCCACTGAGCAGAGAGCCCGATGTGGGCCTCGATCCCAGGACCCTGAGATCATGACCTGAGCTGAAGGCAGAGGCATAACCCACTGAGCCACCCAGGCGCCTCTTACCATTATTTTTTACTTGTTATCTGGAAATAGGTTCTTTTTCATTTAAAATATATTTCATTTAAAAATATTTCTTTCCTCTTCAAAATGTTGGCTTAGTTGATGGGGTTGAGTTTTTGCTGTAATTGCTGACTTGTTAATTGCTGGAATACTAATCACTATTATGTGTACTCATTTTCTTAGACATTTTTTTTCTTAGACATTTACAATGAAGGGAAAGGAAGAGCATATAACTGGATTAGGCTTTTCACTTCTTTCCTGTTAGGCATTTGCGTAAAATTTGGAAATGTTTGTTGCCCATAGGCAATATCAGCATCGGTATTATAGGTATTACATTTTTCCACTCAAATGATGTGTTGTGCATCTTTTTTTTTTTTTAAGATTTTATTTATTTATTTATTTGACAGAGAGATCACAAGTAGAGAAGCAGCCGGGCGGTGGGGGGGAAGCTGGCTCCCCACCGAGCCGAGAGCCTGAGGTGGGACCCGATCTCAGAACCCCGGAATCACGACCAGAGCCGAAGACAGAGGCCTCAACCCACTGAGCCACTCAGGCGCCCCTGTGCATCTTTTTAAAAAAAGGTTTTGTTTGTTGTTTGCTCTAGAGAGAGAAAGTGCGCATATGAGTGTACAAGCAAGTGGCGGGGAGGGAGAACGAGGGGGAAAGAATGTCAAGCAGAATCCATGCTGAGTGCAGAGCCAGATGCTGGACTTGGTCTCAGGACTCTGAGATCATGCATGACATGAGCTGAAACCAAGAGTTGGACGCTTAACTGACTGAGCCACCCAGGTGCCCCTGGGTTATGCATCTTAATTAATGGTAGAATAATAGGGGATGTATGTGTTTTTTTCTCCTTTTTTTTTTTTTTTAAACTATCAGTTATTGAGAGCTTAGTATGTGCTGGGCACTGAACAGAGCTCTTTAAGTTAAAGAAATTAAAATTTCCTTTAATTCTCACAACAATCTAATGAACAGGTGTGGTAAAGAAACCAAAGCTAAATGAAGGTAAATAATAAAACTAAAATTCTTCCTGGCTCAAAGTCCATGCTTTTTACCACTGCGTTATGTTTTTCCTGTCTTTTGCGTGGTCATATTCTGAAACTTGCCTTCTTCTAGAACATCTCCATTATAAATATTCATTCTCTCACCTCCATTATAGAATATAGAATATAGAACATTATAGAATATCCAATATAGAATATTCTCTATAGAATATAGAGAACACTCCAATATAGAGTAAAACTCAGGTATCCTGATCCCTGACTCCAGCCTCCTGCTTTTTCATAGCTTCATTTCCACTATATCTGTTTTTCACCATTGTATAGATTTTCAGTTTTTTGGTCCTTTCACTTCCTCCCAATTTAGTATCCCCATCTCAGGTTTGCTTTCCTCTCCATGAACCTCATATTTGATTTTCTAAAATAATTTTCCCACAACTACCCCTTTTACTTCTACGCTAAACCCACTGTCCTATATCCTAACACTGAATTGATGCCTCAGTTTGCTTTCTTTGCTCCTATCTTCACATTAACTGATTGGGGGCACCTGGGAGGCTTTGTCAGTTAAACCTCCAACTCTTGATTTCTGCTCAGGTCATGATCTTAAGAGTTGTGAGATCAAGCCCTGTGTTGGGCTCCACGCTTAGCACAGAGTTTGCTTGTCCCTCTCCCTCTACTTCTCACATTGCTTGCACATGTGCATGCCTTCTCTCAAATAAATAAATAAATAAATAAAATCTTAAAAAAAAAGATTAGCTAATCAAGGTTAGGGGAAAAAAATCAGTAGACTTTATAATAAACCTTACAGATGGCTATCACTACACATTTATGGCCTTAAACTCTTGCCAGGCTCTCCTTCCATTCTGTGGCATTGCTGTTTTCAGGTTCTTTCTTCATTGTCTTCAACAATAGTGCCGTGCCAATACCACTTTCCTTAAGTTCTCCCTTCTCTTACTCTTAGCTAGGTTTTCTCCTGCTTCTTCAAACAAATTGAGGCTGTGAAGCATTATCTTGTTCAACTTTCCATCCCCTCACTGCGACTTACCTACATACATACCATTTTTGACTTTCTTCCACAGGATAAAGGGAATTCCTTCCTGTTCAAATCCAACTCCTCACCTTTACCTCAAGTCCAAGATGGAAGCATTTGTGTTCTGGGCAGGAGGATGGAGGAAAAGATGAAGAAGGGGATTAAGGACTCACAAATACTCTCTGAAGAAGTTTCCTGGAATCTCCTTCATGACTCTTCTTTTTGTATTACCATGGCCAGAATTCAGCCACAGGCCACAGGTGACCAAACTTTAAGGGAGATTGTGAAATATAACCTTTATTTTGGGCAAATCTATATCCAACTAAAAATTTTATTAGTACAGAAGCAGCACAGAATGAAAATCGGAGATATCGAACAGTCTCTGCAGTCTCTGCCAATGTTCTTTTGCACATGAAAAAAATTGAGTTGCCTTTCTCTTTCTTATTTTTTACTTATATTGCAAATATTTTACAAATTTAGATCTTTTAATCTTTTAATTTAGTGTATACTATCTCATCATACAGAGGTTTAAAATTGTTATGTCACTGAAACATGCATTCCTTTTTTTAAAAAAAATTCATTGTTTCTGGAATTCATATTTTGCTTAAATAGTCCTTCCTTATCCATATGCTCTCATATTTTCTTTTATTTAAAAAAAAACCATTTTATTTATTTGAGAAAGAGAGTATGAGAGGGGAGAGGGTGAGAGGGAGAAGCAGACTCCCTGCTGAACTGGGAGCCCAATGTGGGACTCGCACCTAGGACTCTGGGATCATGACCTGAGTCAAAGACAGTTGCTTAACCAACTGAGCCACCCAGACATCGCTGTTTTCATATTTTCTTTTGGTACATTTATGCCTTTTTTTTTTACTTTAGGTCTTCATTATATCTGGTATTTATAAATTTTGATCTAGTGTGACATAGGGCTCTATCTTTATTTTTTAAATTTTTATTTAATGAACTCCCAACTCATTTTAAACTAGTCTTCATTCTCATTCATTTGAAGTACCATATGTACGGTGAACTAAATTTTGCTATGTACACAAGTCTGTTATGGGCTCCCTATTCCATTTCCATTGAGCTATTACTAAACTCACACCTCAGTTTTCATTACCATAGTTTTGCAGTTTCTTTATTTTTCACTCTTTTTCTTTTTCTCCCCGCTCCTCCTCCTTTCTCCTCTCTACTTCTGTTTCACCTAGCCAGGCTTGTTGGATGCTCCTCTGAAGATGAGACAAATGGACATAGGCTTCCATCTCTGTTTCCTTCACTGTAGAATTTTCATCCTTTTCATACGCAGCAGCCTCCCATTTCTTTGCTGCCCGGTGTCACCCCTTCCAGGTCTTGCATTGTGTGGGAGGCTGGCATTGGAAGGATTGTTGCTTTTAGTTGACTTGTTCTTTGTGTTTCATCCTTTCAATCCTTTGGATACTGTGTGTGTATAAAATCTGTTTCTCTTTATCACTATGTTCTAAAATTTTCCCTAAGTTCTCTGAAGATGTAAAAATGATTGTTGATCTCAGTATATGCGGAGTCACCTCTTTATTTCCTTTTGTTTATTTTCTTTGATTGCCTGACTGGTTTCTTCAGGAAGGATGAAGCTGTTCTCTGAGTCAGTGAGCTGCTGAATCTCAGAACCAGGTGGCACATGAGAGTTCCGAGATGCTCACTGGTTTCATACGGCTGTGGAAACCATTTGCTGCCTCAAGTTTTGGCTGAACTTGTCCTGGATGCTGATAATGAGGAAACGCTGGGGTGTGGTTCAGCAGGTTGAGAAATAGGCACACCTCTCCCTATGGCTCTATCTCCCCAGGCTCTTTGGGCTACTTTGCTGCGGCCCACTTTGACTTTCTGTATGGTAATGGCCTCTCTGATCATTGTTCTTCAACATTTTATTGGCTCGTCTATAGTCACTTTTCCAGATGATCATCCTATTCAACTTGTTAGAGACTAATAAAAAAAAAACCTCAGGATTTTGACTTTGATCGTATTTAATTTATCAACTAATGGAGGAATATTAACCTTTTTGACCATGTTGGATAAGCAGAACAGATTCCAATGACAGGAGTTGGGACTGTAGTAGATTTTATGAGTATGTGTGTGTATGTGTGTGTGTGTGTATGGGGTGGTGGTGGTGGGAGGTAAACATGGAGGGCTTTTCTTTACAATGTCATCTCAGTAGAATTTTAGGGGTTAAGTAAATTTACTTGTTTAGTCAGACAACCATCTTTTTTTTTTTTACACTTTATTTTTTCAGTGTTCCAAGATTCATTGTTCATGCATCACACCCAGTGCTCCATGCAATACTTGCCCTCCTTAATACCCACCACCAGGCTCATCCAACCCCCTGCCCCCTTCCCCTCTAAAACTCTGTTTGTTTCTCAGAGTCCACAGTCTCTCATGGTTCATCCTCCCCTCTGATTCCCCCCAACTCCCTTCTCCTCTCCTTCTCGCAGTGTCCTCCATGTTATTCCTTATGCTCCTCAAGTAAGTGAAACCATATGATAACTGACTCTGCTTGACTTATTTCATTCAGCATAATCTCCTCCAGTCCCATCCATTTGATACAAAAGTTGGGTATTCATCCTTACTGATGGACAGCCAGCCCTCTTGAATAGAAGCTCTGATACCTTTTATGAGACAAAGCAATCTATATTTAAAAAGGAATCAAGGCCAAATAAGCCAATACGGTTTGGTTTACATTAGAATGTTAATGAATGCACATAAAATCGCTGAATGCACACTGAAAGGTTGCCGTGGTAACAGTCATTTTCATGAAATGATTTTAGATACTGGATTCTTGAATGATGGCATGCCTTGTTATTTGCTTTAAGGCATCTTTAGTGTTCTCTCTCTCTCTTTCTTTCTCATTTCCTTGGAGGATAGAAAATGGGAAAGGGACCTATACCTGATAAAATTCTTTGATTGAGAACAACAGAAATAAATTTTTACTCATTGAAGCAAAAAATATGTTTATTGATAGGATGAAAGGATGGTTCACAGAGTTGAAGGAAATGTGAACAGGAGGTTTCGGGGGTGGAGTCTGGAATACAGAGCAACTCTGAGAACCTGGGAAGCAGTAATCACAAGACAGCGTCTTCAGGAAGAATAAATGAACTCTTACCATTTTCAGTTTTGTGTCCCTACGTTCAAGGTTTAAATTCTAGGAAGTTTCTGATCTGCCTGGTTTGAAAGAAAAATTCTGTGTACACACACAAACAGAATTTTTTTATTTTCTTGTAGAAAGGATTGTTGCAGAGAGATTCTTAGATTATAAATTGCAAACTCTTTCAGATTACAAATCACAAGCCATAGATAATAGATTAGGGATGGCCATAAAAGGAATTCCAGGTTCAAAAGGAGAAAAAATTATGCTTGAACACTTTCATTTCTCTGTGCAGTTTTTTTTAAACTTGTCATTCTCTAGAATTTTCTTTCACCGTCCATGTACCTGTCTTTCTACTGTCATATCTTATTTTTCTTCATTTTTAAATTTTTATCAGTGAATTTCATTCATGAGGGTGTTCTGCTTTATTATTTTCTCTACCCAAGGACCTCCACTGTGGCACCTCCCCTACTAGAATTGTGACACATTTTTAGATCCTACTTCCTCCCTTCCTTCTATTTCTTTAGTGTCCTGCATTTATGACTAGATAAGTATGAAAACAAATGTTACTGAGTAATTATTTTTTATTAGATTTTAAAGTAATCTCTACACCCAGTGTGGGGCTTGAACCCACAACTCCAAGGTCAAGAGTCTCATGCTCTACTGGCTGAGCCAGCCAAGCGCCCTGAAATGTTACTGTATTACTGATTAAGAGTGAGTTCATGTTACATTTGGAAGATTGCATTGTTGTTCCCAATTCTCCAACTCTCCCTGGGTGTCAGCCCTTTGTCAGATGACTTTGTGGTGGTTCCTCTTGCTAGAGATGGAATATATTTTTCTGTCCTACTGATGTTGGGATAGGACATGTAATTTGCTTTGGCCAATGAGATGTTAGTGAACATGATGACAACAAAGGCTTCAAATATGCTGACATGTTTGGCTTGCCCTCCTGTGCTTCTGCGTTGCCATAAACATATCCTGGGTTCTTCTGTAGTCCCAGAAGAATGATGACATGTGGAGCAGAGCTGCCCCAATCAATTCACACATTCACAGTCTAAGGCTGAGCTGTCCCAGCAGATCTGCAGATTTATGAACATAAGAATAAATAATTACTGTTGCATTCTTCTTGGTTTTGGGTAAATCAGCAGCAGCATTTTTGTGGTAGAGTTAACTGATACATTACTTTTCCAGTGAATGTATTTTCATTTAAACAAGAGTCCTCTGGAGTTCATGCCTTCGTCCATGTGCATGACTATAGAGATTGATGCAAGGTAGGGAGAAAATGCTGGGCAGAAGGTATCTTGTGGGATCCCCTTCGTATACAAGAGGAGGCAAAACCCTACTAAATGTATATTGGTTTTGCACACTTAATGATCACTGTTTTTGTAAGAAAAGTGAAGTAGATTCTGAAAAGCCTTTATAACAGTAAAGTTATCCAGAATTATTTCCTAACTAAGTACATTTTCATCGTAATTCTAGTATAGATTAGAGAGTGACTAGGTTATTATAAGCTTGCTAGGGCTTTTTTATGGGCTCTTGAAACTCTTTTTAATGTGGTATCTAAAAAATATGGTATCCCGCAGATTTCTAGGCAGAAGTCTACCAAGGGGAAAGTTACCAACACTTCCTGGAAGTTGCTCTCTCTGACAGATTGACTCTGAGGTCAAAACTCTACTTTTGTTTTTTTGGATTTTTTTTTTTTTTGTCTATAAAAAAATCAGTGCTTGTTTGATTAACTCATATTAATATTAAATAGGAGTCCTCTTATTTGTATTGATGATACAGGGTCCCCACCAACCTGGTTCCTGTCCTTTCTCCTTATCCCAGGTTGATTAGACTTTTTAATGAGCAAGAAAGTTATTTTCATTTCTTCAGCTATTGAAAAAATGTGGCTAATCTTTATAGTGGCAAGCACTGCTGTCAACTAATACAGAGTAACATAGTCCTAGTCCAGGAAGGCAGCCTATGGAAACAGTTTACTTCCACTGGTTGTGTGTATGTGTGTGTGTGTGTGTGTGTGTGTCTGTGTGTGAGTGAGTGAAGTCTCATTATCACTAAAACATGGACAAATGGACCAGGTAATGCCTTTTGGCATAGTCCTTATTGTCCAGATAACTAGGGTCCTGAAAGAAGCCGAGTTCTCTAGGCTTGAGTATCTCAAAGTCACTGGTTTTGGCCTTAGGTAGGGTCTCAGTGGGCCTGGATGGAGTTCAGTTGTACAACTCTTGAACTTTCCTGGAAATTGATTGAAATCTTCCTTTATGTCTTAAGCATAATTTTGTAATTTTCTCTCAATATATATCCTCCATATTTCTTAAGTTTATTCAGAGTGATTATTCTTTATTTTATTTTTATTTTTAAAGAATTATTTATTATTTTACAAAGAGAGTAAGAGACAGAGGCAGAGCATGAGCAGGGGTATGAGGTGGAGGGAGAAAGAGAAGCAGACTCCTGCTGGCCGATCAGGGAGCCCAATGTGGGACTCAATCCCAGGACCCTGGGAGCATGACCTGAGTCGAAGGCAGATGCTTAACTGACTGA